TATCGAAGCACACCTTCTTATACATTCTCAAAGGCAGCTTCACACGGAAACACTTAACTCATTTCCTATTGGTTACCTTGAGGAGAAAGCCTTATAAGGAGATGGGGTCTTACTTCTCCTTTTGTTACAGGTATGGACTATGTGTCTCTAAGCGAACTTTAGCTGACCCTTGTGGTCTTCTGAGACTATTGAACTCTGCGGTTAGGCACTTGCTTCCTGTTCTTTTGCAAGCTGCAACTCTGCCTATGGGGCTTTTTAATATAGGAATAAAGGGACCCCAAGAGGCTGTCCAGCCTGACCCAATAGGTTTCACACTTAATGTCCAAATCTCACTTTATGTCCTTCTTTAGAATGAATGAATGAATGAATGAATCAATCAATCAATCAATCACGTCATCCCGTAGCTCCAACCCACTATAGCTCTAGTCCAGTGGTTCCCAAACTTTAAGACTTGTGGACTTCAACTCCCAGAATTCTCCAGCTAGCTCTTCTGGCTGGAGAACTCTGGGAGTTGAAGTCCACAAGTCTTAAAGTTGCCAAGTTTGGAAACCACTGCTCTAGTTCAAAGCTACAAGTCTCAGCAGCCTCCATCCAGCGTGGCCCAAGGCGAGGAATGCTGGGAACTGTAGTTCAGTGAGTATCCTCTGCGTGGTGGTGGTGGGGGCGGTAGCTGGAGGCGCTGAATCACAAGCCGGGCTCCTCCTGCGCTTCCTTTCCGCTGCCTCCTGCAGTTCCCTTCGGCGGCCACCAGAGGGCTCCCACGAGCCTTTGCCAGCTCGCTTTCGCTTTTTTCCCGGGGTTGAGCCAGGAAGCCGCTTCGGGGATGGGAGCTGCTGCAGCCGCGGGGTCGGCGGGAGCTGCTGCCCCTTCGCCATGGGTGAGTGTGCCAGGATCCCTTCCCTTTTTTTTTTTTTTTGCAGCCGGGAGAAGCCGTTGCACGGCCGGCCCGGTGCAAATCTTGAAGCAGAATGGATCTCCTCCCTCTGGAATCTATGCCCGGCCTGGACATCGAACCTGAATTCTAGGGAAAAGTGGTAAGGGGGTGGGATAGGAGTAGAAGAAGGAAACGAGGAGGGGGACAGCAAGCTGCGATCCGATCCTGGGTTCAGTGCCTAGCAGGGATCGGATAGATGTCCCCTGTTTGCCCACCCCAAGGAAGCCGTGTGCCCATCGGTGCCAAGGGGTGGCATGGCACCGCCCGCGCGGGGTTGCAATCCCCGATCGACCCTTTTAAAAAGCTTGCCCGCCCTGCTCTCCCGGCCGGCCGGCCGGCTCGGATGCCCTCCTTCCTTCCGTGCCAAAGCGGATGTCGGCACATCTGGAATGGATGCCACGCCGTTTGATCCGGCTTCGCCTCAGAGGCCGGCCCGGAAGGGGTGGCATCCTGGCAAACAGGTTTCGAAATCGGAGTGGTTTGGGAGCAGCTCTGCCGGAAATTTTGGGGAAAGTCGGGAGAGAGAGGAATATGCTGGGCTGGGGTAAGAGGCAGTTGCTTTGGGATGGAGATGAGGAAGAGCCTTGATCTGGGCTGGGCTGGATGACCTCGAAGGTCCCTTCCTTGCCAGTCTTTAATTCTAGGGAAGATACTAGAGAGGAGGATTGGCAGAGGAAGCAGAGGATCCAGTGGGAAAGGTGGGTTTGTTTCCCAAGATGCTAGCTAGTCAGAATAGAATAGAATAGAATAACAGAGTTGGAAGGGACCTTGGAGGTCCTCTAGTCCAACCCCCTGCCTAGGCAGGAAACCCTACACCATTTCAGACAGATGGCTATCCAACATCTTCTTAAAAACTTCCAGTGTTGGGGCATTCACAACTTCTGGAGGCAAATTCTGTTCCATTGATTAATTGTTCTCACTGTCAGGATATATAGTGTGATGCTTTATTCTGATTTTCTGTCGAAATCAATTCAGAATATTATTGGAACACTTTGTATATCCAGGGACTTTTACGGATTCTTTTAGGGTGTGGCAATAAACATTTCCATTTTAAGGAGCCAAGAGGAAGTGTTGAAAAGGACTCTTTTCATCACACCTTCTTGAAAAAGTCGTAAAATGATATATTTATATTATAACGTCACTGGATTGCAGTGGATTTTATGAGTGTTTTTTTTAAATGCTCTGTTGACCTCTTTTTGGCTTTGCTTTATGAAACTCCAGCGCCCTAAACTTGCTAGTACGGGAATTGATTTATGGCGTTGATATTTTTCCACCTGTCACTTTACATGTCACAAAATATTCTAACTTTTAATGCCTTTCCGCCTTCAGTCTCTAAATGGAGATATCTTCATAAAACATTCTGAGAAGTTCTAAGTATAAGCTATTGGACTCGCTGGCTCGGTGGCTGCTGAGCTTTTCGATCAGAAAAGTCGGCAGTTTGGCGGTTCGAATCCCTAGCGCTGCGTAATGGAGTGAACTCCGTGACTTGTCCCAGCTTCGGCCAACCTAGCAGTTCGAAAGCGCGTTAAAAAATGCAAGTAGAAAAATAGGAACC